TTAGATATCAGTGGAACAGTCATAGAACAGCTAAAAATTGGCTAATTATCATGCAAATTAGGTAATTAACGAGCATGGATTTTTACCAAAACCTAATCAAATCTGCGCATTGGCCCAGAGCATCTATGCACCAAGTTTCATCAAAAACCGATGTATGGTTCTTGAGATAGCAGTGGAACAGTCGGACACACATACACACACACACACACACATACACACATACACACATACACACATACAGACACACTAACTGCAAAGACTCCCATTTTGTGCTTCGCACATGGGAGTCAAAAATCAACAGTGAGAAATCATTTGAATTAGGATTTTCCCGCCGACAAACACGCCCAATACGCGTAAACTCAAAATGAATTAAAATGTCAGGGGTTAAACTGGCTACTGCGTAAAATGATTTCGGGTCTCGACAAATTACGAATCAACCGTCATGCAAGATCAATATTAATTTACAAATTTACACAGTAAAAATTATAAAAATTCATTGCTGTTTGAAAACACTTCTCAGATCTTTATTTGTACGTTCTTTGCCATCTTCGTCAAACTCAAAGCCCTCAAATGTCCACTGTAGCCGTCAAACAAAATCCCTACAACTTATTCCTGAAGTTCGTCGATATCCTCCCACACAATTTGGACTTAGCACCTTTAATCCACGAATTTCGCAGTCTGTCAGCTTGGCACTTTTCATTCATGTCTAATCATAATAAAGAGACAAGAAAAATGGGGTCGCTCTGCTGCGATGGCACACGATGCTTTTGTTTACAGTCTAGCAATCAACTTTGACCTTTATGCATCTGCTTTACTTGATTGGCATCACTACTAGTATTTCATCATAAAGGTCAAATCGTGACATTGCTTTATTATCAGACTCGACGCTTATTAATCACGGTGAAAGTTATCATTCAGCAAGTTCCGGCGGTTGGAATGTCTCACTGTATGGATAACGCGGTGGACTTGAAATAGGAAGTTTTTTTTTTGTTTTTTTTTCCCCAACGACAGAAGAATAATTTTCATGACAGAAATGCAATAGCGGTGATAAAAGATGGTAAAAAAAGTTGGCAGTCTTCGGCGTGACATTGCAAAAGTGCTGGCCCCAGTTATGGATTCGCAAGCTGCTACAAAATATTTATAAACAAAATAACGTGATTTCAACGGGTTGCTACAATACTGCAACATTGTTTTCATTGTCGACGACGCTAAAGCCGAACAAGTGCGACACTTGCTTAGCGGCTCTTCTTATACGATTTGCTTGAATCGTTTCTAAGGAAGCACAAACCAAACGGCCGGCTCTTTTTAGGGCCACGACATATTTCAAAAAGAGAACTACCGTTTCTGCTTTAATATTTATTTTTATAGACTTGCTGACTGTTATGATTCTGAAAAAAAATCAGCGATGAACGCGCTGCCCTGAAGGCAGAAAGCTGTCACAGCTATTTTGCGTTCAATCCTTGTTTTACGCAATTAACAATTTTTATAAGTATCACGACTGACTTCAAGAAAGTCAACTATTAATACAACCACAGTCAACAAATAGAAAATAGTTTTTTTTGTTTTTTGTTTTGTGTAGAAAAAGACCCCCTGGGCGTGCGCCCGGATATGACCTCAACTTCTTTATTGTGTCAAAAGTGGGGGGTGGGCGTTTGTCCAGGCATGGGCTCTTACCCAGATAAGTACGGTAATGGCATATTTACTAAACAATGACCTGCTGCAACTCAATTCACTACTGTAGCCTCAACTACAAGCCCTTCAGTACAAAAGTTCTACTTCAAATTCGTCCAATTGTTTTTATTTCAGCACAACAGCATCTTTCAGGATTGGTTTCCATGAATCAATTGTTGTTGGGTGGCACACTGCTCCTTTGAGCTAATTTTTACAATAGAAAGTAGTATTGTGCTATAATGCTAATCTAAAACTTAATGTCCAAGAAGAACTTTTTTAGAAGTTAAGAAATTGACTAACCTGGGTAACACTTTGATGCACGTGATGACTACCATCAAGCGAGTTATCTTTAACATTACTCAACCCAGAGAGTTTACCTGGAGCCATCGGTGATGTCTGTACACTGGTATGTGTTGAATGTGAACTACCAGATACTGCACCACTTAAGTTACTACCAGTATGACTGCTAGTATGCGTGGTGGCAGCAAAAGTCGAAGTATGATTAACTGAACCAAGCCCCTGCAAAAAAAAAATATATATTGTCAAAAGTTTAATACATATTTTAATTTGCAGGCCAAAGGTGGCAGGTATTTAAAAATTATCCTCATCAAAAAAAATCAAGCATTGACAATTCACAGTCCCCATTCTATATTTAAAGCCAACTTCCATCACTAGTGCAATGTACTGTAATGTACTGAGCATATTTGGTTATGTGCAATCAAAATCCAGGATGTAATATCATTGTACAGAGTTCCATAACATGCAAGCCATAAACCTTTTTTTCATCAGTAAATAAATACAGCAGCTGAAATTTGTTTAATAGTACACAAGAAACAAGTGAAAATGCTTATAAACAGTTAATTAATATGCAAATTAGGTGATTAATATGCAAGGATTTTAACCAAAAACTAATTAGGTCTGAGCATTATCCCAGAGCATCTATGTACCAAGTTTCATTAAAACTTTATAATTGAATCTTGAGATATCTGTGAAACAGACAGACGGACACACTAACCGCACCTTCGCACACAGGAGTCTAACAAGCTTGGTCATAGGTCTGGCTATAAACATCTTGACCTCACAAATGTGAAGTACAAAAACAAGAATTCTATACTAAAAACATCTCTTAAAGCTTACTGCACAGAGTGGGCCGATTTGATTGACAACGCAATTAAGACCCAACAAAACAAGCAAAAACAGTAGTAGGAAAAATAAAAACAATCAGGCAGCTTCAAAATGCCATTAACAGAATACATCAGCAAGAGAAGTCAAACTTGGTCATCAGAGATAGAACAATAAGTCTTCAAATATTTTCAGAAGAACGAAAGTATTTAACTCATCATTTGACACAGCTTGATTAAAAAAAAAAGAAGCTATTTGGGGTATGACCATTGGTATACTTACTGTGTGTGCGGAAGGAGAATGATTACTATGATGAGACACCAGCGTACTCAAATTACTGCCTGAAGAAGGTAAATTAGAGGAATGACTGAGAGGTGGTAAAGTGGATGACGATCCAGATGTTGTATGCGAGGTTGGCAGCGATGGTCCAGGATGCGACGTCGCCATGGATTGTGCCAATGATGAAGGGGCATTTGATGACATATTTACAGATCCAACTGGAGAAAGTAAGAAGAAAATTGGACATGTGTGCATTTTGAATATTTCATAACAATCCAATCCGAGTAAAACCTGATGTAGTGTACAGGCTTTAATTATTTTGGCTTTTTATTTTATTATTATTTTAATTTTATTGTGTTTTTTTTAATTCCGCCCTACATACATCTGATCCGATGCCTATGTAACAAGATTTCAACGAGACCCACTGTCGACGATTTTAGTCAACGAATCACAGACCCCCTTCTATAGCGCACATGATGATGTCACCAGGCAGAGTCAGGTGGCAAACACTCAAATAAAATGACAGATTATACCGACGTTAGTGACCGGGAATAACACGGTTTTTCGGTAAGTTTATCATTGTCAAATGCAACGAAAGTCATTTTTATGTTAATATTGTGGCTTGAATGGTTCGAGTTTAGATAGTTATTTTGCGTAGTTATTCTGGGAGTGACGATTTTGTTTCCAGTTGCTTGCCCTCATGAAGACGGGCGATGTTTTGTAAACGATCAGACCAAAATAGTCTACGGTATTGAAGCCGTAGCTGTAAATATTCATCAAAATGTATCAACATTTTGTACATTATACAATAACTCTTTATTAAAGTTAATTGAGCTGATTTGGACTGGAATAAAATAATTTTTATTTGGAACACATAGCAATTGATCAGGACATTTTTTTTGCTCCAATTTTCTGCGTCGATGCCGTGAACCGGTGACCGTTACACAATTTAAAATCATTTTGCATTGTTTACTTTAGCTGTTTACAGTGTTCTAATCATTACAATTTACTTATTTTTTTGCTTCCATTCTAGATAATTATATGCTCAGTGATGTAAAATTGAAGCGATAACTGAATGAACGAACCTTGGCTGGCAAAGATGTATCAGGAAGTGTACACATTTGTTGGAAGTGACAAAAATATTCATTGTAATGACAAAAATTGTAAAATGCTGTGGAATTTCTTTTGTAAATAAAAATATACTAGCAATTTTCTATTAATGGTCTATTCAAGTGGGCAAAATATAATGTACAGAAAGATTGCCCGTAGAGTAT